TTTTTTTTCCTGAAAATCATTCTTATCCCACTCAAGACCTGTCTGTAGGTCGAACAGACTAACAGACACACGTCACAGTTTACACGTTCCTCAGACTTTGGAGCTGAAGCTTGAAGTTTTGATTTGCTAGATTTTCGATGTATTCTAGTGTATTACAATTTTCTCCTTTTCTCTCATAATCTGCGTTTAAATTTTAACCCCGCAGTGAACGAGAGTATGGCTTTCTTTGAGAGATGTGAAGTGGGCACCAAACATTTCTTCCGGGATGTATCATTAGTGCCGCATGTTCGGCTTCCGTGTGAGATCGTAGAAACACTTGAATGGTCACCTAACCGGTACAGAAGTTTTACGTTAGGTTTTTGAAGTAGTGCAAGAGGTATCCGAGAGGGAGTCTACTATCCAGTGTTCAGATCCTCCAAGATAAGCCCGGTACCACTCCACCACTCATTAGAGAAATTTCTAAAAATAAAGCTGGTCATGGCTCTATGTGATTCCCAGATCGTTCAAGTAGCGGTAGCTCTTCTTACCCTTTCAACACCCATGGCGATCAGCTTCATGATCATTTGAGAAGTAAAATGCTCTCTTACTCCTTTCCACTTTTATGAATCGTCTATTCTTCCCACCAGATCCTTCTTCTTGCAATTTTGCTTTGCAGTTGTTGCTCTTTTTTGCCCCAAGCGCAGACGCTTCGGTTGAGGTATTTTTACTGCATGAAATTACTCATTTTCCCAAGAGACATAGTCATTACTAGAATTGATCGGTTTCTCTGAAACATTTGGGCTTTCGCCGTCACACTAACCATCCATCTGTACTCGTTTCTTGGTTACGCAGCCTCCCAGCGTCGGTTCAGGGTAGGTAATTTTTGATTTCAAACTCTTTGATTAAGCCGACCTCAACGTTGCCATTTAGGCTTGTTTTCCTTGACTAAACCTCCCTGGGTAATCAGATTTAATCATGACTAATTAGGACTTGTGTACAACAATTATGATTTATCCGCACCAATGATTAATCCTCATCTTTGAACGAGTAGTAAACCTCAAAGAGCAACTTTGAGCCTGTCCGTACTGGCTTATTATGATGAAGGGGTTTTTGTCTGATTCGTAGACTGAGTGCGAATTTATTTAATCGAATTCGCCGAAAACTGGTCAGATCGCGCCCTGTGCAAATATTACCTTCGAATCATATGACGTGATCCATTTACGGGGTAAGTAAACACCAAAGGATTTGCGATAAGTGCCGGTATCCCCTTTGATTCTGAAAAATTCTCACTCCAGACCTTTAAATTCTTTCAATTTCTTCATGTACTGATTCAAAATAGGAAAAAATACAAAATTGTAAGATTTTTCGATCCCGTTTCCCAGTGAACCGCAAGTCATCCCCAAAATTTTTTTCCGAAGTTGGATAAGGTATAGGTAATGTTTGTGTTGTAAATCGATCTCCTTTCGAGATGCTCCCAGTTATTCCGAGCCTGCCGATATACAAGTCAGAGTTCGACTTCCCAGGCGTGCATTATGCCATTCAAATCGACCGCTGAATAATGCGGTCGACTCGGGAGGTATTGATCCGGGATTAGATCTTTGCACTATACGTTTGTCGGCTGCGCCGTTTGGCATTACTCCATCTACTGTCTGGTCATCATAACTGGAGGGCAAGAATGGAAACAGGGAGAGAGGTGGTGCTCACTGTTTGCTACCAAACCTACCATGGTTTCCAATACAAAGTAATGAGGTCCAGGTGGGGCTACGACCTCGGTTGAAATCATACTTTGGTTATCCGATAATCTTTTGGTGGGTTCAAAGCGCTCATTCCTATGCCGGTTGTTCGAAAACGCTCCGGTGGTGGATTGCGCACTCCTTTTTATTTTGTTTTTCATTTTTTTTTTCAATTTTTCCTTTCTTTTTAACAAATTTCGGAGGCAATCGAGAGTACGGGGAATTCAGAAGGCTCCCATCTACTCAACTGTCCATTTGCAAAATATAATAAAAATAGGGGGCTCGGTTGTATAGTAGGAGATGTGCGTGGCATGTCAATAGCACTCCCGGCGGGGAGTTCCTGCTATATGCCAAAGCGCCCATTACAGCTGATCCCAACTGGGTTGGTTCCTACGAAAACATCACATAAAGAGGTTTTTGATGCTCACTCTAACAGAGCAGGGTATCACCGCTAAAATAAAAAAAGATTTCGATAAGTCTTTCTTTCTTCTTCTGTTCACTTCCTTCTCTGCGAAACCCCTTGCAAGATGTATGCTTCGTGAAGAGTGCACACCTGGAATTTCGATGTCGCCTTCTCCATTTGGACCCGAGAAGTTTAAAAGTCCAACAGTCAGAAAACCCAATACGTCGTAATGTTTTTTTCTTCACTTTTTTATGTAGACCGGAAACCACAATGAGCTTTATTTTATCAAACGCTTACTAATCCTTTTGGAATGCGTCATGCATTTGCTGTTCTCGTTAGATTGGTGAGCAGACATTTGAACCCGTTTTTG